CTCTTCAGAATTCGGGCTTACCCATGTAAACTATAATAATCGTAGCCTTTATTCTAAGATTCTTTTCCCTGTTATTTAGTTTTGGATATCATTCCTTGTCATTAGGTGGAACAGGGAAGTTATAGTAGGAAAAACTACTCTTCTTTCTTGGTCATGCAGTCAAACTACAATTTCAAGTCAAGTCATATTCTTTACAGTATGCGAAGGGGAACAGGGTACTTTTCCTTTTTTTCTTTTTACTTGTTCAATCCCAAACGAAAAAAAAACAAAGAATGGGGCGGAGATCCAGATAAAAAATGAATCGTGTAATAAGTAAAACTCCCCCACGTTTAGGGCTCTCTTGTAACAATGACCTTTCCTTGTGGAAGATGACTTCCTGTGGTTTTGATTGTTCAGTTTCTGCGTTTTCAACACATTCTTGAAAGCTGATGTAATTTTCGTTTTGAGAAGGAAGTTAGGATTTGAATTCGCCACAAAAGAGAGGTCACGGTAAACGAATACTCAGGAATTAAGAAGTTCTCATCAAATTAAAAGGGAAAAAGAAAATCAGTTAATGGCGTGAGTTTTCATTTGCTTAAGCCCTTACAATAGGTCCGATGAATAATAAATGTGGTCAATGTGGAAGCTTAAGTCCATGGCATTACCTCACGAATGTTGTCCAACACTCAGGAAATCGTTAGAGCTCGATCTTTAATTACCTGTCCTTCCATTTACCATGTATTTTCTTTCGTATCATAATAGCGATCTAGGACGTTCAAAGACCATGGTATGTTGACAGAGCGCAGCTCAGAAACAAAAAAAACGAGCAAAATTGATTACTTCTTCCTCTCTTAAATCTCCATCCTCATTATCTTGTGACATCCATGCTCCAAGATACGTCAGTAGACCTGTGTCGCTCGAGAATTTTTTGCCTCGGAAATCGTTTTTCTAACTTTAGTTTGGCCTTTAGGGACACCGTCTCCCCTCCAAAATTTCTGCCCATCTGGATTTTTGTTTGGCCCTGAGGCATAAATGTGCCACTCGGCCATCATATGAGGATCATTAATATAAATTGATTGATTTATTGTAGCAAATCCTTGGCGGTTTTTCCTGAAGATACCAAAATTAGTATTCTCTGGGCGTTCATGCCACCTGTTTCTCTTACTGCCACTACATCCGCAGTCCACCGGCTGTATTTGTCGCAGTTGCTCCGACATTCATCGATTCCCAGTTCGGTAAAATAGTCTATAGTCCCGATCTTTTAACTGCTTTGCTACTGCTTTCCATTAACACACATAACCGTTGTGACCTTCCTCTGTGGCATAGACCTCTGCTTGGTGATGAATCCAGGACATGATTGGAATCACTTAGTTGTATTTCAGGCAATGGTCGTCAGATTGCCAAGAAATTAAGAGCAGTTAGCCGCGGTGTAATTATGAGAGTAAAGGTCTGCCCTGCATCGAAGCCTTATAAGTTTTTGAAGCCTTTATCATGGATGTCTTTGATATTCTGCTAAAAATTCTAATGCATCGGGCTCTTCGTCTTGAATCAGTTTGTAGAAAACCCTGGCCCAATCACCTTTTGATATCGTTTGGCAGAGAACGGCGTTGGTAGAACGGCAGGGTATGAAATGGCAAAGACCACGACAATGACAGTGCTTTTTACAGAGAGCGTGGACAGAGTGATGAGAAGTTTCGGGGTAAGTTGATGAAGGATTATTGACATCTTTGGATATTTTACTACTAAATAATTGTCATCTTTGATGTAAAAAAATGATTGAGCTGCGAGTTCGAATAAAAAATGCACTGTGGTGGAATCTGGTTTTTTTTTGGTTAGGAAAGGAAAGGTTCGAAAGTACCTTTTTTAAGTGTATGATGAAGATAAATAGTCATAGAAGGTCCCTGATCTTAATAAACTGGAGGGTAAACCGGAAACTAAAGTGGAAAACTTTCAACACTTACCCGTTAAGGTTGTGACCTAAACTCTGCACGAGTTTTTGAACGTTCTATCCCATCGTGACCTCAGTTTAAGCCACTTGCTGAGGTTTGGAATGGGCTAGTTCTTAAAAAAGGTTTTTCACTTACTCTGATGTCTCCCTACTTGGATTCACTTGGAGTCATAGATGCACTTTATTGAAAGGTTCACGCTTTATCAAATTCAGAGGTATATCGCAATTACAGACGTGTTTGTTACAAGCCCTAACCAAAACGGAAAAACTTGATCTAGTGAAGTGTAACTGTACTACGGGCGGGCGTTAATATCTCGATTGACATGCAAGCGTTGTTCTACTACTACACATTCACAAAGAAGGGCAGCTTAACACAAAGAACATATTTTTATAAATTGGGAACAAAGTCGTTTTAAAGTTAAACTGTAGATGCTATCCTACTATCACGAGATCCTTATGGGGCAGATTCAAAATTCAACGAGATGTGACCCTCGACCTCACCATGACCCTAATGAATTAGGAAGGAGCTGAAGAATTGCAGGCCATGAAAGGAGTGACCGACACGTAACTCGGCTTCAGAAATGAAATACAAGGCTGAAAGGATCGTCTTAGAGCAAGCACTTCTAAAACTCCAAAAAGTGAGCTTTACGAAGCCTGGTGGGCCATTTTTGGCCCATTCGTCTCTAATTTAGGGCTCTTTAAAGCGAGGTCGCGTTCAAATTTGCCTCACTTCACTACAAGTTCATATGCAGATTACACACCTCACCTTCTTGTGCTTTCATTTACATAATTTACGTTCATTGATAGCTGAGAGAATCATTTAATCCTCTCACCGTTCTTACAACTTTCTATTTCTTTTCATAATTTCGGTGTGCGAGGCTGTCTCCTCTTTTGTACCACTGATCTCTAGAAACGTCAAAAAAAAAAAAAAAGATTGACAGTGAACACTGGAGAGAAGAATTGTGATACGGATAACAGTTTCTCTTTAACATGGTAACTGGCAACAAATTTTCCCCCTTTTTTGTCCCAGTTCATTCCTTTTAGGTTAAAGAATCCTAAAAGAGCAATTAAATGATATATTGTGCAAAACTAAATTTTGGACGCTTCACTGACAATCATTTTGAAAACGTTCCGATCCAGGTCACGTGATGTGATAAATCACACGTGTGTAAGGCAGTGCAAAGGGTCATGTTAAGACCTGAAAGTAACAACTTCGCCTTAGCTATCCAGAAAAGATTTTCATTTTAAGTCCAGTGCAGGGACTTGAGGAACAAAAATTTTGAAGGATATAGTCATGGCATCCACCTGCACAGGTTGCTTGAGCTTACTTCCCACCTTCAGAGGCCGAAAAAATCGTTTTTTCTTTTATTTTACTAAACTGATTTCAAACATTTAACCTAAAGTTACCGAAAAAACTTGAAAAACGTAATTTCAAGTAATAGTTTATAAATCAGGAAGGTGTCATAATCTCGTACCTGGACGAGTCTTTTGATGAAATTTTCGCGGCAACCGCTCATCTTGGTGCCCGTTTTTCAATTCATTTGCACATTTTGTTTACGTCGCGCACTTCACAAATTCACATGTGGAAGCTCTTTACTTATGGAAAAATCTTTACTCATGGAAAAATCAAAAGCGGAAGAAAGTTAACTAAAAAAAAACAGAAACAAAAAAAAAACAGAAAAAAAACAGGTTCAAAGAAGAGAGAAAGAGTACCATTCTGTCAAGAAAAGAAAAAAATCCTTTATGAAGCCACTGGTACTGGCGGAGCTCTACGCTGGCGTCCAGATTTCGAGCAAAGAAGTCGCCGTCAAACCTAAATTTTTCAAACATAATGCTAAAAACGAGGTTTCCTTTCATTTATGCAAGTATTAGCCGTGATACAAAAACATTAACAATCGCCTCGATTCGTTGTCTTGCTTCTCAGCAAATTTTCCGATTATCCATTTTTAGCGCGGGTTTTTTCTTTGCCTTTGGGAACTTTGCCCGTTATTGTGTCGTCCTCCTGAACGCTCCACCGAGCGATCGAGATAAAAAAAAAAAAAAAAGTTTCTGTCATGGTTTACTTTTCCCGCGAAATCTTGATCTAGCGTCAGTGACGCCAGGAGGTCCCATCATCCCATTGGAGGCGAGATAATCTCCTGGCGTGGCGCGAATTGTTTGCGAACCTTTACTGACGAGCTGAAATCTCGCGTTTGATTTTGGGACGAATACATCCGCTTTGAGCGAATTTATAGGGTATATAGATTTAATCGATTTTCGTCAAATTTCGCCAAAACATTCCAGGAATAATAACAAACAAAAGCATCAGGAAATTTTGATATTTGAAATATTTGCCCCGTAGTGTCCAGTTACGCAAAACGCTTCGCATATTTTTAACCTTTCCAACTTTAGATTTTGATATCTAGACAACCAATCAGAATATCGAAAATGAATAAGACTGTGCAGCCAATTTGCTCGTGCTGCAGTATCCAATACCCGATAAATTCAACAAAAGAACCATCGGTCGTTTCACGTCTTACCGGCTCCTGACACTTCCTAAAAGGAAAACTCGCTTAAATTATATTTGTATCGTAAACCGCAGTTATTAAGCTTTCTTCCGATATATCCTTTGCTAGGATTTTAGTGAAACTAGCGCGCGTACGAATTTTCACCGAAGGTAGGAAGTAACCTTAAGATTGAAGTAGAGTTAGGCCTATCAGGCGAGGAAACGGAGAACCTCAAAGCTGATCAACGATCAGCCGTTCAATCTTAAATAAATTTAATGGAAATTACCCGTGTCATGCAACCGTGCGTTGACCAAGCAGCACGTGGGTAGTTAGCATGCGGGAATGGAAGCGAATTAGAAAATCCACGCAACACGCAGGCGATCATAGGTGTTCTACTATTCCTCTTGACCTCCTGACCTTCATTATTTATTTGTTTTTTTCCCTTCTCTTTTCAGTGCAAGATCACAATCTTACGAGGATAACAAACCTGCATGCTACTGAATTTGAGACCGGTGAAAAAATAAATCTGACGTTAACTTAAAGATCCTAATCTCTGGCATGAGAATCAGCAGAAAAAATGTCTGACATGAGACGACAAAATGATTTATTTAACATTTATCACCAGTGCATCAAGTATCGCAATAAGCTGACTTTGATATAATATACTAAAATACATGGCATATAGGCAAAATTTAAAACCTTACACGAGAAACCGAAACAAAAACTACCTTTGGACTATATAACTTAAATCTATCAAATGCTACACCGTACAGGCCTACTCTCAACGAGATTAAACACAATTAAGTTATCAGAACATTAATAAAATGATTGCTGTTTCCCTCTCTTGATGGTAAAAAATGCTGGCAACAGTTTCAACTGCACTCATCTTGACTTGTAGAATTCTTATCTAACCTGCATCCAGTACAGTATAGTAACTTTCTTAACAAAGAGTACACTCTTCTGACCTGCATTCAGTACAATAGCAACTTTCGAGACAAAGATAACACTCTTCTGAAAAGCAACTCTTGATCCTGAATAATTTTTTTACTCTTGTAAACGTCATGGAAAAGGCTTTCAATCGGTCTCCCCTATATGACCTTTATAATATGACTAACATATAGTGAAATCTGTCTGACAGGCTAATGTCTAAAAGAATGCTAAGAACTTTTATTGCTACAGGAAGTTGTTCAGCTCTTTTACCAAAAAGCAAACCCGTTGTACAGTCACAAAGCACATACATTAATAAACAAAGCCTTCTTTGCTAAATCATAAACAATGGAGAGGAAAATATCCATCTGCCATGTGGTACCTAACCGGTAACGAACTGGAATCATTCTTGATATGAAAAAAAAAAACTTTTGAATCAATTTTTCTTTTTGGAAAGATAAAAAAAGGCTCTAATTCTTTAGTTTATGACTACACACTGAGTTAGATGCCAACTATGCACTGAAACTTACAACAACTATAATCTAGAAAAAAGGAAATATCAAAACTGTGACAACAGTTTACACAACCAAGGGAGCCTTGTCATGAGTCTTTGCTGTTTGCTCTGTGAACATGGCCTGTCCAGCATAAGTACCCTGAGGGTAAGCACCCTGAGGGTAAGCACCTTGGGGGTAAGCCCCTTGGGGGTAAGCCATTGGAGCCGCTCCGCTAACCTGCATGGATGAATGAGAGACCACCACACCAGTGGGGGCCATTGTTGGCTGAGCAATAACCATCATGGGGGGATCCTAAGAGAAGCAAAGATTTGCTCAGTCATTATGTTACTCACTGCTGTTTTCAAAATAACTGGCCAGCATAAATAACTTACAAACAGAATGCCTGTCATACAAGAACATGTTGTCAATAACTCAATGAGGTATTTAAAAATGATATCATTACTAGTAGCAATGGACTACAAAATACAAAGATACGAGGTTCAATTGCTTGAGGTGAACTCAGATTCTTTCTTGTCCACCACTCCTCAAAAACTGAACATCTTTCTTAGCAGTTTCTTTTCAACAATATTTTCAACAAAATTATGCTATTAAGATTTCTAATGTTCATGCATCATTTAGTGCTTTCAATCCTACAAATCTCTAAATGCCTCTCTACTTACAGGTGGGGCACAGCAAGTTGTAACACAGCCCAAAATTGATCCAGCCAGGGCCAAAGCAGTGGAGATGTAGCAGACAATCATGATCACAACAATCACAGCTCTGATGCTGCTCAGGTAGGAGCAGTCATCCACTGCAGTAAAGAGTGTCATTTTAGAGATATTACCTCTAACAGTGATCAGAGAGGTGGTTTATTGAGCTTTATAGAGATGAAGTAAAACTTAAATAATGTAAAAATTACCTTAATTGCTACTATTTTTATTATTGAACTACTCTTATCATTATTTGCATTGCCATTCTCCTGTAATTTTGTGGACAAGAGTTATAAAGGATTACATATATACAGTATTTTTGTTCCCCTTTTGCAGTCTGTGTTGGCTAAAAACTTAAAATTTTGACACCAAGTTACTGAAATGGGTTCTTCACCCCACTTATAAATTTACTTAACCCTTTAACTCCCAGATCAAATTTGTAATTCTCCTTACTGTCAACCATACAATTCCTATAATGTTAGTTTAGAGAACTTAGTATTGGATCAACGAATCTTCCCCTGATTGATTTTTTTTCTTTATTCTCATAACTCATCTAGTTGATATCATATTGATATTGTATGGGGAACTTCTGTCCTGGTCACTCATGGGAGGTAAAAGGTTAACTTAAAAAGAATATTTACACAAAGCATTGTGCAACAATGTGTAGCCGTGGGGAAGTTTTGCAGGACTCCAAAAAATCCAAAGAGCAAGAAAGAAAAGTGTTACTAAAGTAGAGAAAGATGCAAATTGCAACTTTATATGCCTTTAATTAATTGTGCAACCAGGTGTCTTCCTCTCAATTATAGCAAACAAGTTGATTTTTCAGAATGTTGATCTTGTGACACTCTGCAATAAACCTCTGCAGTTGATCCTGCTGAGAAGTTTTTGAAGAGAAGTGTTTGTAGTTTGAGCAAAATTTTTATAAAACAAAACACAAAATCCAGATACAATACTATAATAGGCCACTTCCGAGTTCTCACAGTGATCTGGTGCCAAAATTACAGCGTGAGGATGAGGCTAAGTGCAAAGTTGTTTTCATTGGTATAAAGAATAAAGTGCCCTGGTGATGAAAATGAGAGAAAATTTCCCAAATGTCAGGGTAAGAGAGTGAAAAATTATTTGTGGGAGAGAGGCATTCAGCTAAGTGATGGACACAAAGGAAAGAAAACGGCAAAACTGTTTGATTTATGCAAGAAAGCTGCAACAATGAAGCAGATCCAAATAGCAGCTCTGCTAAAGACTGCATGAGGTAATAAGGAGAAATTACTAACAAGTGAGGGCAAATTTCTAGTACCTAAAATTTGGATGCTTGGATGTACAACTTCTGTAACTTTCCAGAGTTTGTGTTAGGCATTTGCATGCCGCCTGACCAAGTCTCGCCTTGGTTTCTTCTTTGTCATCATTTACTCATTGTTTTTTTCCTGATTCGATCGTCGCAAAGGCCTACTGTAATTTGCAAAACAATCTGAACAAAATGAATTTGAAATCTTTTACTTGCAAAATGAACTCAAAATATGTAATAAGCAAAATGGAAGGCTGTGTTTGCGAAATGAAAATCTGTCATTTACCAAAGCAGGAGTCATGTGGTAAACTCCTCTGCCCGGGAGGATGAATTGTTCAGTTCATTACTAGCATAGATTGCAAATAAAACTTAGCATACAATATAAACTAAAATTTACATTTGAACCCCAAGCTAAAATTCCTTCTGATTTCATTCCATATTTGAAGATTTTTGTTGTAAAAAAGGAATGGTCAGAGATAACTGCCATGGTTTCTCGATGAGCCCAGGGAATGTGTGACCCTTCCAGTTCAAGTAAAGTGTCATGTCACACATTTGAATAATTCATCATAAATGTTCCTGTGAATATTTCGCAAAGTAAACTACGACGATTTTCCTTTCACACTTTCTCTAATGGTTATTATTTCAAAGTTACGTATGTTATCTGCAATAGCAGTGAACTGACCGATTCATCCTTCCAGCTCGAGGTCATAAGTTTTCCACATTTCTTCCCTTGCGAACTGAATTCCCAGTTTTCTGGGAATTCCTAGGAATTCTCAAAAATTCCCAATTATGCAAATGACCCTTGCAAACTGAATTCCCAGTTTTCTGGGAATTTCTGGGAATTCCTAGGAATTCCTAGGAATTCCTAGGAATTCCTAGGAATTCCTAGGAATTCTCAAAAATTCCCAACTATGCAAATTAGCTCTGATTTAAAAAGCTTGGAATTACTGGGAATTTCTGGGAAAGAAAGACTCCAGTTTTGTGAGGACTTGGAATCCCTAGGAATTCCTAGGAATTCTCAGCTTTACAAACTACCTATAATTTAAGAAGTGTGGAACTCTTGGGAATTTCTGGGAATTGAATTTGAGGCAATTTTAATACCCTGAGGTCCACATAAATTCTAAGAAATTCTCAATACCTTGAATGTGAAGGTTTTAAGAAAAAGAGTAATTTCAGAGGCTTAAAACTTTGGCTCAATAAAAGGTATGCTATACAAAACTTACCAAGAGATATACATACATGTACATGTTTATAACTCAAAGATCATGAAATTTATTACTCAAACTAAGTTTTAGTAAATCTTTACATTAATATGGATTTTCTCATGAACCAGCTGTCAGTTATGTTAAATGGAAATTGCCAACTTCCACAATAATTAACAATAATTACATTGTTATCTTACTTCCCTAACCTACATTACTGGTTGCCTTTGTTAGAAAATCTTAGAACAGTCAAGCTCAGTTGCCTCCAACTCTGTCAGAGACTTTTTGTTGACAATACTTTTAGTAGAAATTTCATGCCTTAGACAAACAAATTCAACACCTAATTAATCTTTCTTTTTTCATGATTGTTGTTGCTCCTCTTTTTTCAGTGTTTTGCTCTATTTTCATGACTAATTGCTGTAATTTGTTTTGCTGTTTTTATTCTTACAAAACATTTTTGTAAGAGTTCCAATACTTGTGGATCATCCACACACTTTGCAAACATTTGGCATGCAGACAAGACAGAGGTAGTCAATGTTCCCTTTGAGGAAAAACACCTTTTATATGACATCTTCAATTTACTTTATTTGAAACTCTGATCTGAAAATATTTGTCAACAAGACTTGTTAGTAGTGAGAAATACCAACTAAGTTTCCTTTCATAACTTAATTTCTTAAATGTCCCAATCACTGATCTCCCAAAAAACATTACATCTTTTTATTTTTGGTGCAAATTACAAGTCCTTCTTTATATAAAAATGAAAAGTGCTAGTCACACTTCAATAATAACAGCTCTTAAGTTTACTTGTTGTTCTTCTCTGTCTGTCAGCTATCAACAAAATTGTTTTATACTTCGGGCAGTGCATAACTATTTGTGGACCAGAGTTCCAACGCACCTCTGTGATCGCATATAGCTACTTCTGTCTCTTGTACAAATGTTTCTCCTTTGTAAGACGCACTCTACTCTGTTGTCAATACTGCTTTAAGTTCAGTGGAAACGACTGACTGAGGAATCGAGATGGCGGTGTTGGAACGTGTTGCTGAACGCTTTCTACGGTCAAGCTTTGTAGATTTAGGTACTGGTACACTGGGATCATCTATGTATCTCTTATACTTCCGAATGTGGTATCCTTCTTTTATAAATATGAGGGTAAAAGACGATTTGTAGTCGCATTCAAAACTGTGATTGGCTTGTGTTATTTCTCACCTTTGCCATTAACACAACTCAAGTGAGTTTCGAGTCTTTGTTTCCTCGACAACTTTCGGCCACAAAACGAGCATTTGTAATACGATCGATTCTTGTCGATTATTTCTACATAGAGTGAGCTCACATCTTTATTTATATCACCAAGCTATCCATCTTCTAGAAGCAGAGAACCGGTCGGAGAAGTCAGAATGTAGTTGGGCACTTCTCCTAACACTGCAATCGGCAAGCCAGCGGATTCACTCTGCTAGCCAATGACAAGTCCTAAAAGATCCACGTGATCATGCCCGTGATCGGAAACAAAGAAGACTCCATTTGGCGCTCTTCTTTGAATGTACTTTTCATCGGTTGATCGCTTTTCTCAACTGTTTTGCTTAATATAACATTTCTAAAGATAGCTTTTATTGTGGTTCAATGGGAAAACGAGAATAGCGTGAGTGTTGTAAAAGAAAAGAAAGTCGTTGGCGCCGTGGAGTTAAAAGAAGGGGCAACAGTTGACATGTTGACTGGTACAAACAAGGGTCGAATGGCCGTCTGTAAAGCTACGATTTTGAAAGTTTGTGGTGAGTAAAAATTGCGATATTCGTTACGTGATCAAAATCTTATAAAAGAATAGATGTAGCGGGTTGAATTAAGCTTACATAACGCTCGGCGTAACTGAAACTAGAATAATTCTGAGAATCGAATCGGTCACTTGCATGCCGCAGTTTCTTAAGCTTATTATGCTTTACAATGAAATAAACCTATCAGTAAGGTTTCAAGATTCCTCTAGTCACGTTTAAGAACATTCAAGATTCAAAATAGGAACTGTTATTAAACAAACCTTATAGTACATAAAGAAGCCCTCCTTGGTAAAAACAAAATAATGTATTCAGCCCTTTTTTAGTAAAATCCATGAGAGAGATGTACTAACTCCAATATGAAAGTCACTCAATATAACAGAGATTTCTCAATTTGAGAATCCAATGAATGCCCTTTTCCTCATAGCCATCTTAAAAGCCTGGTCTGAGCTTTAAATATACATATTTTAATATATTATTTTTTTTCAAATTCAGATGTCAAGGAATCCAGATACAAAATGGTCAAGGATCTTGTTGACAACCTCATTCAAGGCCAACTCATTGTGAGCCCAGGAAAAAAAATACAAACAGTACAAACAGCAGCTAAGTTTGCAGTTTAGGATAACTTCATTCTAATTTATTGTTACGGTTAAAACAAGATTTTAATCAAAAAATCAATTTTATTTGTCTGTAATTAGCCCCTTCACTCCCAAGAGTGCTTGGTTTTCAAATATAACTTAAGATATTGTATTTTATGGAAACGAATCAACAGATTTTATTCACAATTTGTGTCAAACCAAATTTAATGATTGATTAGAACTATTTTATATGAATAGCTGTAATTGAGGATTAATCCGTATGAAGTTTTCAAGAAAAGAAAAATAAATCAAATTCCATCCTAATATTACCACACATTGATGTTAATAATTAATCAAAAATATTTTACATGTAAGCCTTAAATTAAGCTTCTAAATAAATTTCATTGAATACTTGAATTTAAGCTGGGTTTTTTTAATTTAAAGTATTTATTTTATATCATTAGCCTCAAATTTTTGCTTAAAATTCCCAGTAATTCTTAAACATTCCTAAAAATTCCCAAAAATTACCAGAAATTCCCAGAAATTCCCAGAAATTCCTAGGAATTTTTTAGATTTACAGCTTTTCAGGGAAAGTCATTGGTTCTCTGAGTTGGAATTCCTAGGAATAAATTCCTAGGAATTCCTAGGAAAATCCTAGGAATTCCTAGGAATTCCAAAAGCCATTTCGCAAGGGTTGTTGCAAACAACAGATCTACAGATTTCCATCAGCAAATTGCAGAATTACAGGTTTTTGAGTTCATTTCATAATTTACAGCTTTCAATTTCTTTGTGTTCATTTCACAAACTACAGTGAGCCCTCACTACGATTCAGCAAGAAGTAAACAACAGTTATATGATGACATCAAAACATCAAAACAACTAAGGCAAGGCTGAGCTCTGGAATGTTAGAAAAGTGGTACCTCTGCACATTAAAAATTTTTGGTACCTGAAATTTTCTCTCACTTGCTTCTAATTTCTCCTCCTACATTTTTTTTGGGGGTCTTTGGCAGAAGAAGCAATTTTGATCTGCTTCATTGCTGCAGCTTTCTTGCATAAATCAAACAGTTCTGGTTTTTTTTTCTTTGCTGCCATCACTTTACTGGATACCTCTCTCACAAATAATTTTTCACTCTCCCACATTGAATTTTGAGAAATTTTTGCTCATTTTCTTAACCATGCCACTGTATTCCTTATACTTTGCACTTAGCCTTGACCTCACACTGTAATTTTGGTACCAGATCACCGAACTGCGAGAACTCAGAAGTGGCCTACTGCAATTTAGAGAATGATCAACAGTGCAAAATTTTCTTGATCATCATTAAATATGGACAGATCACAATACAATTTGATTAATTACCACTTTGAGACACCAATAGTGCAAATTTTCACCAATATTATAATAAAAGTGACATTAACAAAGCACCTCTGATTTTAGGACAGGATGCAGAATTTCAGAAAAGCTAGATTTTGTTTTGAATTACTGAAACATTCGAAGATATAGGAGAAATGAAAAATTACACCATTACAAAATAAATGTAATTAAATAGTAGAGTCTAACATACCTTCATAAATTTGGTCACCTGGACAAACGCAAGAGTCTCCAACAGTGGTACAGTCAGAAAGATCAACTGCAACATCCCAGTAGGACAGAGCTAAAGTGACAATAAGCGATGCTGATGCAGAAATGACTGTGACAATAATGCTGAAGACCAAAAATGTAATCATCTGGAATAAATTACAAAATACAATTTAAATTAATAGCATTGTTTTGACTCTCAAAATAATCATTTATCAAAACATTTTCTCATACCTTTAAGGCTATAAACAAAGCTGTCCCACAATTTGCAAAAAAATATTCTTGAATGTGGCTATCTGAGGGTACTAAATAGTCATCTGAATCCAGAGAATTCTGTGTCTCAGATTTGCATAACTTTCCCAAATACCCCAACCCCTCATGTTTAGATCATTGTGACTATACAAACATGAAAAAGTCAATATGAAAAATGTAAGGAAATTTAATTTTCTGAAAATTTTCAGTCACCAGATGACAATAAAGTTTCGTGCTTTTCTTTCAGAATAACCACAAAAAAAGCTTCACAAAAACAAAATATTTGCAAAGAGTAACACTTACACAACAATGGTTCTTGGTAACACCTCCACAAATGCCAAAAATTCCACAGAGAAAGAACTAAAATATAAAAGTCACTTTTACTACAGCAAAAGTAAAAGAAGTTATGGGCATAACATTGTTCTTAAACATGCAGGTGTAGAGATTTTTTAGTTACATTTTGAGTAATCATTGCTGTGTCTATGCACAATACTGGTGGTTCTCAGCCAACAGTTGTGCTGTTTTGCTTGTGTTTCCTAATTGTAAAACAATGTCAAGAATTTCAAGAATTCCTGATTAAAAAATCGAAATTTAAGGGATGAGAATCAAATAGTACTTAGAAAAACCTGAGGGTGTTTAACCCTTTTCCTATGATCTGCACATCCTGTCATCCTTGACAATGAGTCTTGAAGTCTCCTTTACAAAACATTTCATTTTGATCTCCAGTTCTTGCATTTCTTAGAAAGTTGTCACATATCTGGGGCCATTCAATATTTTCGAGAACAGAGGAAAAGTTGAATAGATGTTGAATGAAAGTTTAAACCAATTTTAAACTTGATTCAACACGCTTTCCACAAGCTTTCAACATTTTTACGTTTTCAACAATGTTGGACGACCTGTTCAAACGCACCAAACATTTAGTTCAATAAAGCGTTGAATGCATGTTGAAGCAAATGTTGAAACTATTTAAACGGACCCTAACGCGTGCCTATCCAAAAGTTAACATTTTGGAGAAACCGGAGAAGCAAACACAATGCATGGTAAATTTTTATATGAATCATCTTTTCCCAAAATCAAGCTCCAGTGAAAGAAGGCCATTTAATAACTTACTTTCAACGAAGAAGACAATAGATGTATATTGAGTTTTTACTCTAAAATCAAGACAAAAGACGTGTGTAAACAGGTGTGCGAATCTAATTTCAAAGTGAATATGCAAATTTATCAGTGTGTAGAGAGACCTCATGTTTTATGGAATTTAAAAATAAGAAGCAAGACGAAACTGACCGAGGAACGTTTCTGGAAGATGGTTTTATTCAAAACGGTTCTTGATTATCTGTTAGTAGCGAAAAACGTGCGAATTTCTTACGTGTACGAAACCCACGAGGAAGAATTAATCTCCTTAGATCATTGTTTATTTGAATTCACGGCTGGTAAATTGCGCAGCGTTATGTTGAAAATTCTGAAAGTTCTACGTTTTGACACAAATCATCTATTAAACAATACTTTTTGGACATCTCATTACTCACACATGATATTTACCGGGCCTTGGAATCTTCATAATGTCGCTAGGCCTTACTTGAAGTCTGAAAGTTCGGTTTTCACTTTACGGCCCCAATTCGCATCGCTTCAGAGAATCGTGGTGTTGTCGGCTCGAAAGTTTGATTTGTCGCTCTTAAGACTTTGATATCCATTATCTTCCAAGAGGATTATTCTATAACATTTTTACTTTTTCTTTCTGTTCCAGAAGGTCTAAAGTGATCGGAAAGAAACGGAAAATCCGACTTGAAAATATTGAAAGTCGGCCGTGAGGACGCCATTTTTTCCATCTTGTGAACGCATAAAATGACGCCTTTCTAGTACCCCATAGAGTCATCAAAATAACTGCGCAAAACACGGATTCTGATAAGTTTATAGATCCTCAAACAACAGAGAAAGTTTGGAGACAAAATTCTGCTTAGTGGGGGAGGTAGGGGGAAAGCGTCTCTCGCGCGAGTCCACCGCACGGGCGCTTCAGGTGTCAATGGGAAAATTGAGTGTAACAAAGAACAACAAATCTTCCACTTTTTGCTGAGTTAGACTCATATTCCATTTTCATGTCCTCCTTTGTCGCGGAATCAAGAGGACTGTATACTTCTTTGTTTTCTAAACGCGTTTATTTTCTTCCATCGCTCCTGACAATCTGAACATACTAACACTCTAACGATCTAAAACCAATCCGCCCTTACAATTCAGTGCTACTTCGTTTTACAGTTCTAGTTGCGAAATAAAGTAATTTTCCCACAATCACGAGTTCAGTAAATTCCCAATCCCAAAGTACTGTAATATACCCTATTTCAGTTGCAATTTCACAATTACACGTTTCTTTCCCTTATTTAGTTCACTGTACGCATGCAAATCAGTGTTGAACTTTGTTTACAACGTTGTGAAATATCATGTCACGAAATCTTCCTATTCGCGTTACGATCAGTCTAGTATTTCGCTACATTGTGTGACAATTTATAAGATTAATCATTAATTATAAAGAAATCGTTCTCGACACTCTCCCCCCTTGACTCGCCTACGAGTCAAGCATATTGTTTGTTTCTAGCAGTTCTGCTTGGGTTGCGTCTAAGAGGTGTATTCCTTTCACGTTGAACCCTCTGCTCAATTTGGTCATTCCCCTGAGTGACACTTTTTACTTCGATGGGGTACAATTTTTGAACCGGTCTAGAAATGCGCACAGGTTTACCCTTGGCAATGACTCTTACGTTCGCTTCCCTTACAACATTGTCTTTTCCTCTAATAAGACTCTCTACTACTGCCATTTTCCACTCTCCTCTCTTTTTGTTCTCCTCATAAACTGTCACTACATCACCTGTCTGAACTTCTCTGACTACACGTTCTGGTGACATGCACTTGGCCAATGATCCTGATTTATTTCACGTCATTCATAAATAATTCAAAATAAAAGATAAGCAAAGTCTGAATTAATTTAAGTTGAAACGTATCAAAGTGCATATGGTAATTTTGATCAAAATGGTTTTCTTCACATATAGATTTTGAATGTGCACAGCAACTCTGGTAGTATATAGTCTATGGATCATGTGATCACTGTGTGTATTACACATTTATTCTGAACACGAAACGTTTCATGGAGACTATTTGCATGTTCAATCCGCAAGAAACGTCATCCTCTTCCCGACATTTTAAACACGCATAGAAAACAATTCAAGCTATTTAGAGATCAATTGAAAAAAGACTTGATATTTAACACTAACGATGAGGATGAGATCCACATATTAGAGGACAACGGCGACATTAATCGTCGAAATAAAAGGCGTAGCTCCACTTGATTACAAAGGTATTATCGACGGCATTAGCACTACGGTGGAAAAATAGCTTCAGACGTTTCAACACTTTCTGGTTAGCCAAAGGGGTGCAAATGACTAAGTGCCTATTGCCTCGAAGACATGATAGCTCTAAGTTGCAATGTCCGTCATGGTCTCTCGACGCTCTAAAATGGCTTTCCATGGAAGCTTCTTGCGTGAGAAACTTTAACAACTCAGTTCCTAAGGGGCGCTCGACAGACGCGTATTCTCAAATGTCACCCGGAAAAAATGAAATCGCAGGTTAAACCGAAGGTTTCGAGGAAATAAATTAATTTTCAGGTTTCACTGACATCTAAAACCCTTTCCAGAACAGAAATCAATTTCGAAAACCCTCTAACTACACCACAGATTTGCACGTAAACGAAATGAAATCTTTTCACACTCACCGGGAACCCACACCAATATGGCGTTGAGGATGTGTTGACGCCGTGGCCATAGCTCGAAAGAACGAAAGAGGGAATGATCAAAGCAACGGAAAACAACAACTGCAGAATACCAATAGAAATGGCAGCGACAGAATGGCCTCTCGTCATTCCCATTTTATACGCTGATTCTCGTTTTCTTCCTTCCTCAAGTCCAGCTATTGCCAAAGACAAGCTTTGAAGACGACGTTGAAACCCCTGGCACTTGATTGACGTTTTTTCAAGAACACGTGATCACACGAACCGTGATAGGTAATTCTTTAAATCATTTGACCCCTCCATCACCTTCAATGTGAACAGAAGATGCGTGCTTTTGAGATAAAATTCTTTAGGAGACTCCATGGATGGAATGGTAAGATGGCAGAAATGAAAAACCACAATGCACGGACAAAAATTTCCGGGAGATCAGGAGTCTCCTTGATAGTAAATATCTTGTAAGTATATACGAATCTGAACTGTAGTAAAAATCGCGGTTGATTGCGATTCTATCATCTTTTCTGAGTCATGCTTCACTCAGGGGAATGAAGACTGAAAAAACGCCCCAGTGTTGGGACGACATGGTACAGTGCGAGTTGTGCGAGGAATGGTTACACATGAGCTGCGAGGGATTTAAGACTGCCCCGGGGGACGAGTGGCTCTGCATTGTCTGCAGATCGCCAGACTCTAGACGTCTTCGTAATTGTTAAGGTGTTATTTCGGATCTCTCATCAGTTAATAATCGTTAAAATTAGAAAATAAGATTGAGTTCGATGTAATAGTTTCCACTTTTGATAAGACGTGGACATTAATGTTGATTTGCATCTGAAATTAAGCTGAGAGTTCCAATAGTTCAGAATAGAAACATTTTTACTTATCATAGGCTTTGCGAACGACTTGTAGTAGGAGTAGTTTCTTCGTTCTTGTTCAGAAACTGTTTAATGTTATTATTTTAGAAAATTAGACTGAGTTATTTTTGTGACAGGACGCAATAGTCTACTATTTTTATGACGTTTCGTGTCAATGTTGATTCGCATCAGAAGAAGCAAAGATTTATTGTAACAATTTCAATAGTTCAAATGCAGTAGTTTGTTCACATCTAATTCTTGCATATACATATATGTATGACTCGCTATAATAAATGCGGTAGAATTGGAACGAAATTGCTGTGTTGTTTTTTTTTTACCTTTATTGATGTTGTGTTGCGATTGAAAAGAACATAGACAAAAAGCTTGCAAATAGAATTAGTAACCAAATATGATACAAAGGATGCTTAAAAGGAAAGTCTGGTGAGGGGGTCCAAATCTGCGAAGGGGTCCAAATTCGCTGTGACACCGGAAAGCAGAAGGCAGTCGATGGTTAAAAGGTGTTGATAGGCTTGTGCGACTCCTGCCATTCGCTTGTGCTTTTAAATCTTCTGACCTGAAAGCTAAGCTGTTATTAGGATATCTTTTAATGACTTTCGTTCGCGATGTGATAGTAAAGGTTAGTTTTCAGGTGTCATTTCTCCATCTGTGTGTTCTTGGTCTCCTTGAGGATTGGCAAAGCCGGATTAGATTGTGTTACCAAAGGTAATATTTTTATCTGTGTGCGCTATTTTTTTCGTTTTCAGGTATACTGTCTCTCCCGCATAAAATAACTCCAGAGATACGCTTCTCAAAACCTTATTCTCATTACTGCGAGGATCACTTTCATATTCACAATATACACAGTAACACAGTTATCTCGAACCAGATTTCTACGGGTTGTGGTCACAAAATTTTTTTTGACTAGTCAATTACATTGGCGGACCAGACCTTGACATTGGGGGGGGGGGAGGGACGTTTTTTATCGCTTGCCTTGCCGGCTTTTTTTCCTGCTGCGATTTTTTTTAACCTAAAAAGGATGAGGGAGGGGCCCGGGCCCCTCCCCTAGATCCGCCGCTGAATTCTCGAAACATCGCGGCAAAAGAAGATTTGCCGCCAATGACACTCTTTTCATGTTAGGTAAAAGCATTCGATTCAGGGGAAGAACCTTTAGTTATTAGTTAGTTGGCATCAACATCAGATTCCCTAGCGAGGCTATAATGGAAAAATTGTGCAATAGTACCCCGAGGTCATTGGGCCCTCAACACCATGACAACTAACTGTGATCCAATGAGGTGTTCAGATGCTGATCACGTGTGCTATCTTGATGATGATTGACGTTGTCATGCACGGACAGGGCCGGGTCACATGATGAACACGAGATTTTTGCCCATAAAACTATTTTGTCAGTCGTTTTGTATTTCAACGTAATTGGATTACGATTATCTGGAGCATTATGGGGCAAACGCTCAAAATACTTATAGACGCATACACAAGTCGTATTGTTCGCGGCCAATCCACACAAAAAGATGTTATTGAGCGGTAATTTTGGATCGGACAGGATCGCGAACGCTTGAAAGCCATGAAAGCATTGAATGCCTTGTATGTCTTGTATGCCAAGTATGCCAATGTCTTAGTTGAAAATGTAAACTCGTTGTAAAAAGCAAAATCTGAAATCTGAAACCAAACTGCATATACTCTATGCAATCTATTGAACAACACTACTACCGTGAGACTGAAGAACAAAATTCAAATGGATGCAAACTGCTAGTGAAGAAAGACGCCATGTTAGATTCACTTGATGCCAGGGAACGTAGCTACGATAACAGTGCGAATGGTATTAATTTCACGATTAGAAAGGTGAATCTTATGTTTGTTTTCATTGTAGTTGTATGGATATTCTTTTTTAATAAATACATGATCCAAAATCCCGTGTTTTTTGTGTATAATGTTATTATGTCAACTATTGTTTACGCAATTGTCTTGTCACAGGCGACCCAAGGTCACGTTTCGAGAAAGAGCCAACGATTAATTCACGAACGCGTCACGCGTTGTGTGACTCAGAGTAAGTTATTCTAGGAACCGTTGAAAATTTGAACACGTTATAAGGAATAGTATAGGGAACGAAATATGGTCGATTTACAACGATAAATATTTCGAGATATGAAGATTTTTCTCGAAAAATCAATAAAACTTAATCATACCCTGTGTATCCGTTGTAGTTTCTGGCGATTGTTGCCGTTTTAAGCTTGCTTTACCATCACTATTATTCACGTCATCTACTTTTATTACATTGGTAAAATCTGTACAGACATCACACCAACCAACTCGCGCGCAAAGTAAGAAGACTATGTTGAAGGCTTGAAATTATATTACGATCGATTTTCATCAAGAAATGGGCCAGGAATTTTCCACAATAGTGCAAATAATCGTGAAGGCTGATCGCGGAAAAGCGATTGCGTGACGCTCGGTAAGCTGTAAGATGACATGTTATTATATACCAGACGTAAAAACTCTTCAGATTCTCAGTCTGCATTTTTTTACCCACTCTGCAGTCTATATTTTGTATCCGGTCTGCAGTCTGCTGTCTACATTTTGTACTAACAGGTATCCGTGGCACAAATACAGTTTATTTTTGGTTACATTCATTCGCACAACACACATAATCTACCACAAAATACCTGTGCGTGAGGTAATTCGACATTTTCATTCTTTCCCGCGTTAATAATCTTCTTTCCTTTTGTAAGAATGTAGACTACTTACAATGTTTCAAGTAATCCACCCACCCTAGAAAAAATATCTCTTGTATGCATAGCATGCCTATGTTTTGAGACAGGTGTATGCCCTTGGCCAGACTTGAGCTCACTATTTCAGTATACTAGTCCGACACGCGTAGTATCACTACACTTGATTCCACGGATCCAATACCATCCAGGTATCCCAGTTACCCTGCTCACAAGGTCTAGTTTTGTTTGTTGTTGGTTTCCAATCTCAGTTTACAAATACTACGTGTTACGTTAAGCTGTCACAATACAATGGACAGCAACAGAACACCCACATTGAGGGGAACAGAAAACACACCAGCTCTTGATACGGCGAGCAGAGATTACAGTGGGTCTATCACATATTGGTTTAAGTGCGGTCTCCGCGGGTTTCACGTTTATGAAGAGGCTTGGAGTCCGATTGTTGGAGAACAATTGAAATGCTGCTACGAGAGAAACAACTGTTACGATCGCTATGTCGAGAACGATTTCTTTATAATTAATGATTAATGTTATAAATTGTCACACAATGTAACGGAATACTAGACTGATCGTAACGCGAATAGGAAGATTTCGTGACATGGTATTTCACAACGTTGTAAACAAAGTTCAACACTGATTTGCATGCGTACAGTGAACTAAATAAGGGAAAGAAACGTGTAATTGTGAAATTGCTACTAAAATAGGGTATATTACAGTACTTTGGGATTGGGAATTTACTGAACTCGTGATTGTGGGAAAATTACTTTATTTCGCAACTAGAACTGTAAAACGAAGTAGCACTGAATTGTAAGGGCAGATTGGTATTAGATCGTTAGAGTGTTAGTATGTTCAGATTGTCAGGAGTGATGGAAGAAAATAAACGCGTTTAGAAAACAAAGAAGTATACAGTCCTCTTGATTCCGCGACACGCTATGCTATTGCCGTGACCAAGCGCCTTCGAGGCCGTCTTACCGACTCCGCAGTTGGTCACTTGCCCGAGGAAATTTCCAGAGCAACACGCTTTTTTCTACTCAGACGAGTGATTGTTTGTGGTAAAGTCATCGGCAAGAACCACAGAGGATCTCCACTAGTGCAAGGAGGATTGGAAATTCCCTTACAAGGTACAGCTGAGATGGATCCGAAAGGAACAAGGCAATACTCAAAAACTATAAACAGGTTGTCGTTTCAAATTATAAAAAAATCCCGGGATAGAGGGTCATTTCGATGACTGTACAAAACAGGTGCTGAAAGGACCTGAAGACGACGATAGCGATACAGACGAAGAGGTCAAAGCAACGCAGATAGTGAAATTTGACAGTCACTGTTAAACTGTTATTCGTTATCTGTAGGCATGCCATAAAGCTTTTACACATTATACACAATACGTAGACATATGTTTCCTCGTTAAATTGTGAAAACAAGGAATATAGGAGGATATTAAATTTCGCGACATTAAAGTTCGCGGGATTTTTTTTTTCGCGTCGCTTTAAGTTCGCAAATCGCGGAATTAAAGCGACGCGAAAATTATTACCAATAAGGTAATTTTTACGCTCATAATTTGTCACTTTATAATTTAAACGTTATTTATTTGCTTGATTTATTTCGTTGCTTTTAGCTCATGCTCTTACGAAATGCTTTGAATCCACAGGAAGAAAGAAAAGATTCCTATTTCTTTTTGTCTTGTTTCAGTAACCGGGCTTTATATCTTCCGCAAGCGGAGGAGCTCGTTTCAGCTTCTGACAGTTGTTCATCAACAATCGCCTTTGCAACAAAGCCTCCTTTCATAATCCATAAATATTTTTCACGAGTATAGTCTAAACGTGTCGCCTGACCTTACAACCGAGTAGTATCTTGTGATATTATCAAACTTATTTTCCCCAAATTCAATGCCTTCCGTGTAAGTTCCAAATAACAAAACCGTTGTGAGTCTAATTTACATATACATACATACACTTTATTTCAGCACGACAATAGTTAAAGCTGGTGCTTATATGGTCTTCCATCTGAGTACTAGGTTTGCAATAATTTACAAGTTACTGAAATACTGAATACTGCAGCCAATTAAAAATATATAAAATCGTCATTACTTAAATCAAAGGTTCAGGTGGATGTCGCTTTGAAATGAAAGTCTCTTAGAATGCTCAGTTTCAAATCTATAGTCCATCGTTCATTTTTGCTCTATGCCGATGTTTGAATGTAATTGTATTCCAGAAAATAGCACCCCTTGTAACTAATAGACTTTTCTTACATATACTCGCGGGTGCCTTCAAGAAGAAAAAATTCGTGCGCGCGCCGTTTTTAAAAAAACACAACCACACGCTGCATAACAATAAATCGATTAAACTGTTATTTCCTCTCGTGAGTCGAAGGAAGCAAGTATAATAAAATGAGCGTCGTTTAACTGAGTACTAAACATGGTCTTTGATAAAATGTATTTGCAAAAAGTCATCACAAAGAATCAAACGCCGAAGTGTGTCAGTATTTTCCCGCAATCCAACTAAGAGAGGGTGTCAGTTGCTCAAAATTCGTTTTCACCCCAACTTTCATATTTTGTAGCCCAATATGTCTTAAAAATTGTGGTGCAGTTGTTTTTGTGAAAATATATTTCAGTTTTCGAGAAATGACTTTTCTCGTTCGATCGCTAAAAAATATGCAAATTTTTACCGTAAATATTACCCGTGTTGTGTGACCTCGTGTCATGAATATACTTGACCTCCGGTATTTCTGTCAACACAATCCTTTCTTTTATCATCTTAACCTAATCCCCTGTCATTGCTGAAGCTGGCAAAGGAATATTTATTTTTTGGTGAATACTTTTGTCCGACATACTTTTCCCATGTCGAAAAGTAGCATAACAGAATCTACTGAGCTTTTACCTTTTAAAAGACAAAAGGATGGTTATAAAGTCACTGTAAATATTTAATTGTGTATTTGAGTTGTTTCATCTTGAGACGAATTCAAAGTTCGGAAAAATTTACTTGCCAGCGATTATGAAATATACATGGCGTGCCTACTTGTCGCCACCGTTTACTGTCATAAATTACTACAGTAACTTTGTAACCATCCTTTTGTCTTTTCAAAGCTTGAAGCTCAGTAGATTCTGCTTTTTCTTAATAACTCGACTGTATGTTACATTTACTATTATTATTTTTTCCTTTTTTGCTTTTGTTTTAAATGGGTTGTTCAGGTAATAAACTTTAACTTATTGAAAAAAATCGCCAATGTAAAGTCATTCACAACGAGATTCAGAGAAAGTTTTTGTTACAAAATTTTTGTTTGGGGCTACTTTCATATTCCATTCTACATCATATCTTACACTTTTCTGTTCATAAAACTTTCTTTACATTTATGAACGCAAGAATCCTCTCTCTAAAAGCAAAGCAATTTATCTGGTTCAATGTTGTACACATTTCTCATTTCCTAAATATTCCAGCCACCCCTCAGAGACTTTAAAAATATTTTACATCCAAAAGGCTTGGAAAAAGGACACAATGGACACAAACCTAATTTAAGCGCTCGAAATAATGGATATCAGCACGGAGAAAAACCTTTTTCCCCATTGCCTGGTTTTGTTTCCTATCACAAATCAGTATCGGAATTATTATTTGTGACACTCCACGGATTTCAGGGAATAAGATGAACGCACGTACGCACACGGCACGTTATAACACGCTCGTGCGCCAGTAGCATAACACGCTTACCGTGCAGATATGTACATAAAAACAATTGATTCTGGAAGGCGTGTTGGTAGTCATTTTTCATATCTGGCCAGCGCGGTAGAGCTTTGAATCTAGAACTCGCTAGATTTTTTTTTTTTTTAACACGCTAAGTTCCTTTGTTTCCTCAACACGCTAACTTATCTTTTACAACCCAGCTTAATTTGTCACTTGTGTTTGTCAAGTATGTTACTAACAGAATATAAGCGAAAATGAAGATCTCCTGCCCTTTTCGAAAGTTGTAATAACTCACGACAAATCACATTCCCTCAGGATTTTCATGAGGAATTCAGTGAGCACGACGTGTTTCACAAGGTCCAGAGGAGCTCAGTTTGAACACATGAATTACTGTTTTAAAAGTTAATCCTAGCGCGTGAAATATAAATCCTTATCGCTTCACGCAGTTAATAAGCCCTATCAATCCTTTAGCAACAGATTACCGGCTCCATGTCCCCCTAACGACTAGGTCGCTGTTTGTCACTCTATGCAAGTCGGCAATTTTAAAATAAATAACCGCTAGTTAGCCGGCGCAAAACGAAGCTTTCCGAGCGAAGCTGCGTATTATTAATTATTATATACATACCGAGATTTACGCGCCAAAATTCATCGAGACAAAAATAGTTTTCAGAGCCTAGATTTATCAGTAGAAGAGTTCATAGACGGACAGAAAATGAGAACACTAAGAAAAAGACTAAACAATATGTTACTCTGTTCCATGAATTTCTTGTTTTCAAAGGCAAGACGAGGCAAATGAACGAATGACCCCTCAAGCGCTGAACAAGTTTAGTTCCTTCTAACGGTTCGCAGAAAAGAAGACAACGAGGAATACGAGCCTAATTCCTTAAGGGCATTTTTCGCTAGCTTTTAGCGCCATTTGAAGAAAAAAAAACTATGGATTTTGCCTTATGACGAAAAACACCAAAAAAAAAAAACCAAACAAAAAACACGACGTTGCTCTGTACTATGAATTT